CAGGCAGCTGTGAGGGCAGGGGGCTCAGTGGACAGGCAGCTGTGAGGGCAGGGGGCTCAGTGGACAGGCAGCTGTGAGGGCAGGGGGCTCAGCCAGGTGGAGGGAGGGAGCCCGGTGGGCAGGCAGCGGCATGGGTGAGGGAGTGGGGTGCACTGCTGGCCCTGACAGCACGGCCGCCAGCCTGTCACGTGTTCTCTCTCTCACACAGTCATCGTCATGCCTCAGACCGTGCTCCGGATAAACACCATCGAGATCGCGCCCTGCTTGTTGTGACGGGAGCCGACGTGCCCAGAATAAACCTTTCCCAGGAGGTGGACTGTGTTCTGTCCGCAGCACCGTGGACACCTCGTGGGAGTGGGACGTTGGTCCTCAGCATCCGCCTCCTGGAGCAGGGAGACCAGGACTGGGGTGGGACCTCGGGCGGGAACCCCACGCCTGCAGGATCCTGGCTGCCTGTGGAAGGCCTGACTCCAGCCCTGGGGCAGACTGGGGCCTGGACCACCGTCCAGTGGGGCGCCGTCTGACCTCATTTCTGGGAGAGGTAAACGAGAACACGATGTCCCATCACAGTCTCCTGAGACTTGTCATTTCAGAGCTGGGGTTTGAGCGAGGCAGTGCTGGTCCCACACCTGATCTGTGGGCCAGGGCCCAGGAGGAGCAGGGTGCAGGGTGGGCCTGGGTGGTGAGCACTGGGGCAGAGGGCATGTGAGACTTGATCAAAGGAGTGACATCTGGGGAAGTGGCACACACTCAGGGCTGACCTGTCCCCTGCGCCTCAGGCCTCCCACTTGAGGTGGTCTCTTGGGTAGGGGGAGATGACCGTTTCAGAACCAGGTCTAGAAGAGAGCGTGTGATCCTGAAGAGACCGGGTGGTGTGGGGGGAGCTCTTCAAGAGTACATACAGTTCAGGCTCTCAGGGGGCTCTCTGTTCACGCCAGGGTGGACATTGTCCTCCGCGTTTCCTTGGAAGGGGCCCAGGGCTACCATGATCCAGAGCTAAGAGCAGGAGGTCGGCAAAGCTGTAGAAGCCGCCCCTGAATCCATTCGGTTGGAGGGTTTTAACCACAATCCCTGGATCCACTTTAAAAAAAAAAATACTATTTTATTTACCAAGTTCTAATACATTGTTTTTCACTGAATCCTCTCACCCCCACCACTTGTCCCCTCACCTCTGGCTGGCCCTGGGCAGCCCCCTCCCTTGCAGTGTCCACTGCAAGCAGCAGAGGGCAGTAGCCCCACTGCCTGGGCGAGGCCAGCCTGTGCTGGCCCCAGATGTTAAATGGCTTGGAGCCAGACCTCAGAATGCAGGGTGCCACCACCCCTGGGGTGTCCAGAGAGATTTTCACCGCAGTTCACACCGGTCACCGGGCCCTCAGCTGCCCTCTCCCTGGTACCATCCATGGGTCTCTGAGTGTATGTCCCCTGAGGCTGGAATGTTGGGGCAGGAATCCCATCTGGAATTTGTTTACTTAAGTATGTTCATGTTTCTGTGTGAGAAGTGGAGAACCCTGAACGGCCAGTCCGGGTCCCCGGAGTCTGTTTCCACTCCTGACTGGGCCCACGTGTCAGTGAATCTGCGCCCACGGGGCTCCCTCCAGGGGCCCCTTCTTCCAGGATGACTCCCACTGAGTCCTCTGCCCATCCCCCAGGGATGCCACGGCAGGCACCCAGAGTGAGCATGGCTGTGGTTTACCCCGGCGGGGGGCAGGGGCCATCCCAGCCATCCCATGTCCACCCCCAGGAACAAAGCTGCTCTTGGGCCAGCTGCTTCTCCTCAGTGTCGTCAGTGTCCCCTGTCACATGACAGGGCCCCCATGCTGCCCCAGGCCTCTGAGACACTGCAGGTGGCATCGTCAAGGGCCACCCAGAAGGGAAGCTGAGCCCCATCCCAGGAACCGCTGCAGGGGGAAGCCGGGTGCTGGGGTCAAGCTGGGGAGAGTTGTGTCCCGTGGTCCAGGACACGACTGACAGGACACACTGCTCACTGGTGCCTCCAGCTGGCTCTGCCCTGTCCTCACCGCCATCTGAGCCCATGGTAGAGGGTCTTCCTCCTCGCCGACACTCGACTGGAGGCATGCTGTCCAGGGACTGGTTCCTCCCGGTGACGAGCCCTACCGTGCGACCCAAGCCCGCCGCCCCTGGTGTAGAGCACGCTGGCTGCCGTTCTGCGGCCGTACTCGGGATTCTCCCCCGCGGGAACCTCACCTCGCAGACCCCTCGCTTCTCTCCTTTGTCCCGTTCACTGCTTTAACTGCCCTCCTTTTAGCAGAGACTTGTTAACTAAAACCAGACCCTCTGCCCTGGGCCCAGCTCCACCTCCGTGTCCCTGGAGGGCGCAGTGAGTGCGCCGCCCCTCCGAGTGCCTCACCTTTCTCCCACGGGGCAGCTGGTGGCTTGGAACCTCACAAGGCAGCGGTTAGCAGCCTCGCGTGGCACTGCCGGGCCCCTCATGAGACAGCACGCGTGCACCATCCTTGGGAACCTGCTCACAGGACCGTCCAGCGGGGTCCGTGGGAGGAGATTGGCCGCCTTTCTCCGGAGCAGCAGCTGCAGATTGAAGCCGTGCACCTTTGTGTTGGCAGCCTCCTTCCTTCCCACTAGACACTGGAGCTCGCCGAGACCTCGCTCGACTGAGGGGACAGATGGTGTCCGATGGTGGAGACCATCGGACGATGTCTGAGTCCTGGGGTGAGAACAGCTGGGGCTGAGTTCCGGTCAGCGAGCCTCTGCCCTCCTCTCCTTCCACACTGCTGTCCGCTGCTGGCCGGACACCTCATCCCAGGGCGCACACGGCACCCCAGTGCTCACGGCTGCAGGGTGTATTAGGGTTGTAATTTGGGGTCAGCTCAGGACACAGTTCTCTAGGCAGGCCGCCTCAGCCGTGCCCACAGCAGGCCTCTCTGACTCGAGTCTCGCCATCTTGGATCTTGGATCTCGGTGTCTCCTGGGTCCGCAAAGGCCCCAAGGACACACTCATCCTCTCCTCTCCGAGCTCGGGCTCAGCTGACTCCTGAGCCTCGCTGGGCTCCACGACCCTGTGGGCCTGGTCCTTCTATGGGAGATGGAAGACCACAGTGAAAAGGCCCTCGAGGGACTGGACACACTGCCCGCAGTTGCCTCTCAGGTACCCGTCGTCATGGACAGTCCATCTCTGCCCTGAGTTTGCATCCGTGGAGAGGAGACCCCTTGGAAAGGGATGTCGTGCTTGGAAAGGTGGAGCCTCAGCAAAAGAGAGAAAGACCCCCAACGAGATAAACTGACAGTGACTGCAGCAATGGACTCACGTGTGGTCATCCTCGGTGATACCTAACAACAGAAGGGTTAGGGTTAGGGTCCGTGGACCGTCTCTGCCTTCTTCCCAGGAACACTGCTTCGTTAGGTCCTGGGATCCACTTGGACTCCTCCCACCTGCCTTGACCTTCAGCAGCTCACAGCTACCTTGGCCCTCTGCCCTAACCTCCTCAGAGTCTACCTCATTTGACAGGTCCGGGGACAGTGTGAGGCAGGATGCTACCCCCAGGATGTCCAGCTGAGCCCCCAGGGACAGACAACACAGCTAACAGACAGGGCCCATCACAGCCTGGTGGGAACCAGTGGCTTTCCATCCACTGTTCACACGAAGCCCTCTCCTCCCCTCGCCCACCCCAGGGGGCCTGCGGTATGTCCCTGAGCTCAGCTTTCACCTCCATGTGGTGGTGCAGTCTCACAGGGTCCTACAGAGGCTGCTGTGTGATCCCAGGAGCCGACACAGCCAAGGCCCAGAGCAGCCCCTGCTGGAAGCCCAGAGCGAGGGCCGCAGGGCATCATTGGTCAGGAGCCAACACAGCCAAGGCCGAGAGCAGCCCCTGCTGGAAGCCCAGAGCGAGGGCCGCAGGGCATCATTGGTCCTTCCAAAGGGAGGACCTCACTCCAGCCATGGACAGCGCAGCAGAAGGTGCCTTCGCTGTGGCCCCACTGCCCACCCATTCTTGCTCCGTCTCTCAGGGCTGCCCGCTGAGTCCACCACCCGGCCCCCTCCTGGTCAGCTCCACCCACCATCCCCGTGGAGGACCCCGGCTTTGTTAAGCCCTAACTGACTTTGTTGTGATAAAAGAAGCTTGTCATCACAACAAGATAAAGGTAAATAATCCAATAGAAAAATGGGCACAGGATATGAACAGAAACTTCACCAAAGAAAACATTCAGATGGCCAAAAAGCACATGAAGAAATATTCAAAATCCCTAGCTCTAAGAGAGATGCAAATTAAAACAACTATGAGATACCAACAGAGTGTGGAAATTATCCAACAATATCATTTATATCACATGCAAGCAAGATTCTGCTGAAAATTATCCAAAAATGTTTGGAACAATATGTCAACAGAGAACTGCCAGATGTACAGGCTGGATTTAGAAGAGGTTGTGGTACTAGGGATATAGCTAATGTTAGATGGATCTTGGCAGAAAGCAGAGAATA